TTTTATTTATTTTATTGAACAAAAAAATCTAACCACATCAATTAGATTTAAATTGAAAATTAATTTCACAACAGAAAACATCAGATCCTTTGTTGTTAAAAATTCATTCAAGGTTTTTACATTTCTTTTAAACCTTTTTGATTTAAGGAATTTAATCTCCTATACTCGCTCATGACATTGACATCCACTTTCAAGCGGCAGCAAACATATTTTCGTCAATGGTCAAAGTTGAATGTGGTAATGTGAGGCCCTGAGTCTTGTGAACGGTAAGTGCGAATGCGTTCTGGTTTTCGATTGAGGTAAACGCCTTGTAGGTGTAGTTGACGAATTCATTTTTGTCACACCTGTAGGTTGCGACACCAGCCAAAGCAGAGGTTCCGGAAACTGTCTTGATGTAAGAGATAGCAGTGAAGACGGATGTCATTTTTTCAGGAAAAAAAAAAGCCAAAGATAAAGAAAAGATAAGCCAAAGTGCTATTGTGTTATTTTTTATTTATCGTTTTATCAAAGAATTTTCTTCTATCGAACAGTTTATATATCAATCAAAAAAATAACTAACTCGCTTAAAGGGAAGAAAGATCACAATCGAAAAAAACGACTAATTTGCGAACAGAACAAAAACTTTGCAATGGCATATTCATTCATTGACCAAATGTGATTTTATTACGTGATGACTGTATTTGCTTGATCATACACTTTAGTACTAGCATAATTTTTGTTTGTTGTATATATATAGATAGACTACTTTGTTTGCTACATAAACAAACAATTTATTTTTTATTTTTTATTATTATTTTTTTTTTATTATTGTATGTTATTTTTAGTTATTTTATTATCAGTGATTGATTATTTCTGGAGTTAGTTGATCAAAGGTTAAACTGCTGCAAACAAAAGAAAGAAACCTCTCTGATAGATGGATGTGGTAGATAAAAAAAGATAAAAAAAATAACAAAAAGGTAAGGAAGGAAAGATCAATTTTTTAACATCAGATGAACGAATAGTGAAAATAATTAGTATTAGTATTAGTAATAATAAATATATAAATTAAAATAATAACGATATGTGTAATGTCAATCATTTCAAAGAGTAAAAAAAAAAAAATTTTTAAATCATAAGATGCTTCCCAAAAAATTGTGTTTAGTAAAAATTGATTTTTTTATCAGCTCAATGCTCACTCGATCTGTTCGATCGTTCGATCGTTCGATCGCTCATGTATAATGAGCACTCTTCTACAACGTCTTATTTCCCGTACCACTGTTTATTTACAAATTTAGGCAAACAACAAATTTAATTTATTACAAAAAAAAAAAAATAGTATATAGATCAAAACCAAAACCACACAATCTATCATAAGCAGTGTTACGGGATTTGAGCAATCTTTTATAAGTGTTAACAATTGGTCAACTTCAAAATACTAAATCAAAAAAAATTATATCATTTTAAAAAATTTAACCGATAAGTTTTATTGTTCATGACTCAAGCTTCAAACTTATCGGCTGGTTTTTTCTTAAACTGAAAATTGGCTGAGCCTTAGCATTTTGGAAATTCCAAATTTTGTTATACATTTAAGAAATTGAGACTAATAAATCCAACTTGTATAAAATAATTACTGTCAATAATAGATATTTTATTCCAAAGTCAAATGGTCTGCTATATAGAGAGTGAATTGGAACATTATTATTACTAGTAGTGTTATCACCGTTAAATCAACGAAGTTAGGCCCTTGTATACTGCGGCCCCCTGATTGATCAAGAGTATGTCGTTGAGTTGATAGGTTGATTGTTAATAATAGGGTTCGTGTTTGCACCCTGTAGTTTCAAAGCTTCTACTTCCATTAACAATAATTCAAGTCTGATCAATATCTAGATTACTATATTATTCAGCATCATGACGCTACTATTATCATTATTATTGGTTGAGTTTGCGGTTGAATTTATAATTTATTTTAATATTATTTAACCCTAATCATGTAAAAAAACTAACGCGGAAAAAATTTTGCAACTTGAATATAAAATGATTTAAAATTTATTTACTTTCCTGGGATTAATTGCTTCGAACGCGTAAAAAAAAATTACACTGTAATTGTTCGTGAAATTTTCAAATATCAATTCATGTATCATAACATATATAACTTGCGTCATTCGATAGCTTAGGTTCTTACGAATAAATATATAAAAATTTAAACAATGATTTGACTTGAATTTTCATCTTAACTGCAGCTAATACAGCTAGTATTTAAGTTTTTGAGGAACTTTATCCTCATCTTCTTTCAATGCAGCTTTAAATTCTTTTAAATTATTCGCATGGACTGGAACTTGTTCACCCGTAAATGTTCAATTGAGTTAAGGTCGGGTAATTGGCTTCCAATATTGGATTTTTTTTGTTTACAATGCTTTAGATGTATTTTTATTTTTGTAAGTTTTTAAAATTTTGAAAAAAGTGAAACAAAAACGCTGTTTCGCACAATATCAATATAATTTTTATTACGCAAAATCTGGAATTACAAAATTTCAAAAGACATGTAATATTACGAATATAAAAAGTTTTGACTTGAATATTAATATGTGAAATTAAAATACGGTGGTGATCTCATTTTCACGCACAACAAACAGTAACATGCTATACATATATATTATGTACATTACCGAACTTTTGTATATTAATATCCATTTTAGGAAATAATACACTTTTTAAATTTTTTGGGGATAAATCGAGCTGTCAATTCAGCAATTTTTTCATTTAAATTTTTAATTTTTTCTTGTGCTTTTCCTAAGTCTTTTTCCAAATGTTTTTTCTCTTCAGTCTTTTCGTCCACTTTTTTTTTGAGAATTTCAACTTCTTTTTGTAATTTTTCTTTTTCAGTCATATAGTTCCCAATTTTATCATTTATTCCTACAAGATTTTTTGGAAAATAAATTTCATTGCAATCACTTAGATGATCTAATATTTTTTCTCGCGAATCTGCTCTAGACATTTCGGCTATATCTTTATAATAACCAACCAATTGTGGATTATCCACATGAATAACCGTCTTGCATTTTTGGACTATTTCGGAAAGATTGCCATTCTCTTTAATCATATTCTTATGATCTTTTTTACACTTATCGCTATTGTTAAATTCAGGAAAACAGGTTCTTACAATAGTAGTATATTTAACCACGTCTTTATCAAAAATAACAGCCCTTAATAAATCATAAGCTTGGATTTCTGTTTCCGTGAAACGTCCATTTATAACAAATAAAATTTGACTCAATCCATATTTAATAGAATCAGCTGCCTCTGCTAAATTAAATAAAACTTGCTGTTCTGTAAAGTTTGTATCACCAATTCCAATAGTATCAACTATTCTATACGATGTTCCTTCAATTAATCTTTCTATAATTTGATAATTTCTAGTTCCACTAGTACAACCTGAACCTTCGCTAAAATCATCAGTCCCAGCTATCACATTAGCCAAAGCAGACTTCCCACCACCAGTCCTACCAATTAACATTATTGTCCTTACAGGCTTAGTATCATTCTTTTTCCTTGGGTATTCTTGGTTTGTATCAAAAGGTGCAGAATCATTTTTTTGCTGCTTCGAGTCTATCATTTCTCAAGGTAATGATTTAATTTCAGATTATATACTCCAAAATCTATTTTCGAAAAGAAAGAAGAAATTTGAATTATAATTATATATATTGATTAAGGCCATTGATGCTAAATTAGTTTAGAATGATTATTCGGCTGTATCCATCATTATTATCTCACTTAACAGATAGCTAAGTCATAGTAACAATCGATAAAATTAATAATTACAATAGTCATCCAATTAACTAACTGTATTGCTTCAATGATAGTTCACTAAATCGTATCGGAGTAGATGTAACAAGCAGAATGTAACTAGCGTAACTGCATCGGGTGAACAAATCATTAGTTTGTATTTAGGTATGATGATGTAGTGAGCTCATTTTTGAAAATTGGGAAAAGGGAATTTACAAAATTTACAAAAATCACCAAGGACGGTTGCACTTATTCTTATTCAAAGCTTCTACAATTTATAAAGTAGCATCCACCCGCCGCTCTGGAAGAAGAGTCTCGTTTAGCGATTCGGCTTGAAGGGCTGGCAGATCACAACTTCATGGCCTGCTATAATTCATCTTGTGAATAGACCAGCAGACGTGATTTTATTGACATGTGATAAAACCGAATTTACGTCGATTTCTCCCTGTGGGACGGAATATACTCATTCATTGTATATTTTATAAATATGAGACACATTTCTGACGTTTTAATTTAACTATTTTGTAAAATTTCATCCAACACCAACCGCGTTGGCGTTGGATGTTGATCATACTAACTCATTAAAGGATGTTGAAGAATATCGCAAAAAAATTTATTTCACTCTTCTTTGAGATTTTTTAATTTTGGCACTAGAAGATTAGTCTTCAAAATCGTTTTACAGATTTTCAATTGGGTTTAGGTCAGATGATTGACTTGCCAATTTGATTTAGTTAAATTATACATTTTATTGAATTTTGGAAAAGAGTTAGATGTTACTTTGAAAAAATAATGGTCAAAAAACGTGTAATAAATTTTACATAAAGAACAAAAATATTTAAAGACATCCGTTTTAGGAAATAACACAACGTTTTTTCTCATTATTTTGATATGCTTGTTCCAATTATTTAAACTTTTTTTCGTCTTATTCCGCTTTTTTTTTGAGATCTTCAATTTCTTTACGTAATTTTTCATAAATTCCATTCTGTTTTGGAAAATAAATTTCATTGCAATCACTTAGATGATCTAATATTTTTTCTCGCGAATTTGCTCTAGAAATTTCGGCTATCTCTTTACAATAACCAACTAATTGTGGATTATCTACATGAATAACCTTTTTGTATTTTTGGACTATTTCTGAAAGATTACCATTCTCTTTAATCATATTCTTATAATCTTCTTTACACTTATCGCTATTGTTAAATTCAGGAAAATAGGTTCTTACAATTGTGATTAATTCAACAACATCTCTATCAAAAAGTTCTCTTAATAAACCATAAGCGCGGATCTCTGCTTCTGTGAAGCGTCCATTTATAACAAATAGGATTTGATGTAATCCATCTTTAATAGAATCAGTGGCATCTGCTACTTGCTTTTCTGTCAATTCTGTATCTCCAATTCCTACTGTGTCAATTATTCTATATAAATTATCGTCAATTAAATAACTATTAGTTTGATAATTTTTAGTTTCACTAGTACAACCTGAACCTTCACTAAAATAATCAGTACCAGCTATCGCAGACTTTCCACTACCGGCCCTACCAACTAACATTATTGTTCGTGCCGAATAAGCTCTATTATTTTTTATTGGATGCTCTTGGGTTGTGTTAAAAGGTGCAGAATCATTTTTTTGTTGTTGCGAGTTTGTCATTTCCCAAAGTAATTATTATTAATAATTATTATTTATATATTTATTCCAAAATCTATTTTCGAAAAAGAAAGAAAGAAATTTGAATCATATTATTATTATATATTGAATTAAGGGTGGGTCATTGATTCTAAATTGGGTTTAGAATGGTTGTCCGATTGTATCATAATTACTCAACAACAAAAATTATTTGTCACCTATTTTTTTTAGTTCATCTTACAAATTTTTTGTTAAATGATCTAATATTCTTGCCCCATTATTATAATGAACAATTAGTGGTAGATTATCCACATAAATATTCATTTTGCATGTTTGGATTATTTGAGAAAGACATAATTTTCTTTAATTATATTATATTTATTCTTATAACAAAAGTAAATTTAATAACACCTTTGTCAAAATGTTTGATTTCTTCTCCGAACGAATCAACGAATCAAATCACCTGATTTTTGATTTGTTTCATTTGAATTGGACACGAATCTGATAAATACTATCTAATACATATATATTAAAGTTTTTAAACACTTTATAACAAAAATCTGTAAAAAAAACAATAAATTAAAGTTCAATTTGATATCATGTGTCCATCGTCATTTACTTGAAATGCATGCTTCTAATTCTCCTCAGCATAAATTAAGATATTTTTCTTCAGGAATTTTCGACCATTCCTCTTTCAAAGCAGGCTCCGAATCCGTTGCAGGTAAATTCTTTTTTTTCAATCGCCTTTCAAGTTCGTTCCTCAATTAGATTAAAGTCTGGCGCCCAAATTATTTGCTCCAACTCTTCGTTTTTATCAAATTTAACAATTTATTTATTTTTATGAGTATACAAAGCTATAAAAGAATTGATTTTTTAAATCGAAAATTTTACATGCTAGAACTTAAGCTACATAAAAAAAACGAGGTTTGCAATATTACACACTTTAATTTCTTTTTGTAATGCATTTAGTCGATAAGTCATCAATTATTTCTTTTAGTTTACTGATATTATTTGCTGCTGCCTTTTCTGCCTTCTCCAATTGTTTGTTCAGCTGGTTTTTCATTTCAGTTTCCTTTTGCAATTTTCTTTTTAGATCATTAATTTCTTTTTCTTTTTGAGCCATGTAATTTTTTAAATTTTTTAAATTTCTTGGCAAGTAAATTTCATTGCAAGTACTTAGATGTTTTAATATTATTGCTCGCGAATCTGCTCTAGAAGCTTTGCCCGCTTCTTTAAAACGACCAATTAATGGTGGATTATCTACATAAATAACCTTTTTACATGATTTGACTATGTGAGAAAGACTATCATTTTCTTCAATCATGCTATTAATATCCTCCGAATACTTATCATAATCATCAAAATCAGGAAAATTTGTTCTTACAATAGAAGTGAATTTAACAACATCTTTATCGAAAACAACTTCTCTCAATAAATCATAGGCTTGAATTTCATGTTCTGTAAAGTGCCCATTGACAACAAATAAAATTTGATGAAATCCAAATTGAATACGATCAGCTGCCTCTGCTAATTTATTTAAAACTTGCTGGTCTGTCAATCTTGTACCACCAATTCCGACTGTATCAACTATTCTATAAGATTTTCCATTGATTAAATAATCTTTAATTTCATATTCTTCAGTTTCGCTAATAGAGCATGAACTTTCTTTAAAATCATCGGTACCAGTTATCACATTTGCCAAAGCAGACTTTCCACTACCAGTTCTGCCAATTAATAAGATTGTTCTTAAAGCATAAGTTTCATCGTTTTCCGCTCGTTGTGGTTGACGACTTATCATTTTCAAAAGAAATTGTTATATATAGTAATGTCAGTCATCTGAATTAGAAATGATATTAATATTTCGGGTTCAGGAAATAAAATTTATTAAATAGGGAAGCTTCAAAAATACTGCATAACATTAGTTGGTTCAGATACTCAAGCTATACTATTAATAAAAAATTTTTTCATTGTTTCAATTTTTTTGTCATTTATTTCTTATCAAAAAGATCACTGGTTTTCAAAATCGAAATCAAAATCGAAATCAGTGTATAAAATTCAGTGTGGGAAATATGAAGTGTTAATAGTAACATCATACTATTAGTAGTTTTCTGCAGATAGTTTCTAAATTGGTAGAAATCTGCATTAGTTACACGCCGAAATTTATACACTGAAATCGAAATCGAAATCGAAAATCGAAAAATTAAACGATGAACAACTAACACTAAACCCTACTCTAAACTAGTTTCAGTTGAAAATTGAATTGTCGTAATTTATTCAATATGACAAATGATTGTAAATATAGTTTACGTATCCAATTGATGTTATTATTATTACTATTATTATTATATTTATTTACTATTACGGGTTGTGTGGGTCACATGATATTTGAACTGAATTTTGATTTTTTTATTTCAAAAGTAATAGCAAAAGCATAAGTTTGGATTCGAAATGTTTAAGAAAATATTATCGAAATTATTCTATTTCGTCATTGTACAATTGTAGTGAAGTTAATAACCTCATTTATCAAAAACAACTGCTCTTGATAAATCACGAGCCTTCTATTTAAATTTTAATTTAATTCATGCTTAATAGAATCAGCTCTCTATTAAACTTGATGTTTATATCCACAACCCTGCCATATCTGTATCAAGTATTCTATATCAAAAAATATTCATTAATCTGAAATTTCTATGTTAACTAATAGGACTTGCATTCTCTTTAAATTTCCAGTATTAATTATAACATTGACTTTCCACTACCAGTTCTGCCATTAATAGTGTTGTTCTTAAGGCACAAGCCTCATTGTTTTTGTCAACAGTACTTGAGTAGCATAATGGACACTCATTTTGTGCAACAGTCATTTGTATAATAGGCAGGCGGTTACACAGATCCCGTTGCTTCTGAAACTTCACTAGAATATAGCTGTAGCCTCTCTAAGTCCAGATCATCAAGATCAAAATTATCTCACACTTTTATAATCAAACTTTTGCAAGAACTTTCACCATGTTGATCATTTTTTTGTGATCTGCAACAGTGTCCACTATGCTTACTTGAGTTGTATTTGAAGATACAGAAACCCGTTTTCGTTACGAGCTTGTCATTTTCAAAGTAATTAATTGTTACAAGTAATTATTTGTCATATAAAAAAACTAACACGGAAAATATTATTTCACACAAATAATTCCCTACAACTAATTGCATAAAATTATTTGATAAAAGTTTTTGAATACAGTCAAAGATAAACCAAAGTGGTCGGGACTATTTTTGAAAAGTTCGGTTTATTTAGTAAATTCACTATAATAATAACTGTTTTTTCGATTTATTGAGATTTTAATTAGCATTTGGTTTAATGGATTCGGTTTAACAAAAACGTATACAGTCAAACCTCGATAAAATACACATACTAATACCCGTCTTTAAGTTCTTCATGGTCATGATTTTTTCTTCTTAAAGAATAATAAAAATAACTTGTCAATAAAGTTATTATAAACTGATCAATTAATTCAAGAGTATTCATTCATACACCAGATAAGGTTTATTCTTTCTCTTCAATTTTGTGTTTCTACATTCATAAAATTAGAATCTAATTTACACAAAAGCTGAAAAATTACAGCACCATTAGAATATTTTAAAAAAGAAAATTGCTCCTTGTGATTTTAAAATAAAAAATAATACCAAAATATTTAGATAAAGAAAGAATCATTTATGAGGTTTACCAGGAACTTAAAAAAAGAAATTTCTATTTTAAGATATAATACATCTTTTAATAAAACTATTTAGTTTTTTTATTTCATCTTCCAATAGTTTTTTCTCTTCAGTTTCTTTTTCCAATTTTTTTTTCAATTCTTCTACTTGTTTTTTTAATTTATCTTTTTCAGACATGTAATCTGCTATTCTTTTGTTCACTTTTTCAATGTTTTTTGGTAAATAAATATCATTACAATCTTTTAGATGATCTAATATTCTTTCTCGCGAATCTGCTCTAGAAGCTTTACCCACTTCTTTATAATAACCAGTTAATGGTGGATTATCTACATAAATAACCTTTTTACATGTTTGGACTATGTGAGAAAGACTATCATTTTCTCCAATCATGTTCTTAATATCCTCCATACACTTATCATAATCATTAAAATCAGGAAAATTTGTTCTTACAATAGAAGTGTATTTAACAACATCTTTATCAAAAACAACTTCTCTCAATAAATCATAGGCTTTAATTTCTTCTTCTGTAAAGCGCCCATTGGCAACAAACAAAATTTGATACAATCCTAATTGAATACGATCAGCTGCCTCTGCTAATTTATTTAAAACTTGCTGGTCTGTCAATCTTGTATCACCAATTCCGACTGTATCAACTATTCTATAAGATTTTCCATTGATTAAATAATCTTTAATTTCATATTCTTTAGTTTCGCTAATAGAGCCTGAACTTTCTTTAAAATCATCGGTACCAGTTATCACATTTGCCAAAGTAGACTTTCCACTACCAGTTCTGCCAATTAATAAGATTGTTCTTAAAGCATAAGTTTCATCGTTTTTTGTTCGTTGTTCTTGAGCTATAGTTGAAGGTTCTGATTCTTTTTCTTCAATATGCGTAATTGTCATTTTTATTTAAGAAAAAATTTTTTTGTAAATTTTTTATTACCATATTTACCATAATAATAAAACAATACATGCAACATTACCCAAAATCATGTCATCCGGTTTGGGGGAGGGGGGTTGTGAGCTTTCAACGTTACATGTAGTATGATCCAATGAAATTCTTTTTCATTTTATCAAAATTTTGGGGAGGAGGGGGTATGAGTTTATATCCTAAATATTCGATAAAAATTAATACACAATCTTAATTTTCATATAAAACGCCTGCTTAAGCATAGAGACTATTGGTAGTGTTAATCCTCGAGTTTTAAGAACCGTAAGTGCGAAAACATTTTGTAATGGAGCCAGCATCCTTTGACACAATAATGTCAACCATGCTATTACGAATGCAAAAAACAACCCTAACAGTATCCTGATATCAGAACCTCTCCATTGATTATCAAACAGTTTAGATTTCCAAATCTTTGTTCACAGAAATATTGAATATCATTGACTAAATCTTTGTACAAATGTGGTTTATATTCCATGACATTGGTCTCCACAAGATTAGCAACCAATTTTTTCATCACCATCCATAATTTTCCAAGATGCAATTCTTCTGCAGCTCATCATCTCATTTAATTCCTTACATTAAAAAATCCTTGTCATCATCACCTTGCCTACCACGCCCAAATCAATAATACAATATATAAGATGGTGATTAAATGCCAATTTATAGTCATTTTTATTGTCCTGTAAAACTTTGACGTTTCTCCTATCACTCCAATAAGTCAGATTTGAAAAATACAGATTATTACATTATGCTTAACATAAAGTATTTTACATACTAGCAAGTTTTTGTATCTTTCAGGGTACCTTCTCTTTGTTTGATATCGTCTATATAATTCTTTTTGTTTTTCACATGGGTTGTCGACAAGCAGTATTTGAATTTGAGTCACAAGTAATGTCACTGGAAGAGAAAGTGCTAAAAAGTGTCAAATAGATTTGTTTTAATATTAAAGAATTACCTTTCGTGCTTGTTTCTGTAAATCAATATAATTAGCATCCAGGTCATCTTGGATTCTTTATGAAAACTAATTCCACCTGAGTCAGAAACTACCTCTTCCACAGTTGTTCTTCCTGTTATAAAAAAAAAAAATAACAAAATAAAACAAAATAAAAAGGGCTACATGTCGCACCAAAATCTCTACGATAACCAATAAAATAGATTCAAGGAGATTAAAGCAAGAGAAGGATCCATCAATTGTAGCATATTAAAATTGAAAAAAGCCACATGCTACACTAAGATTTCTGCAGTATCCAATAAAATAGAATCAAGCAAAGAAAGCGACCCTTAAGCAATTACAATTAAAAGGAAGAAAACATGGGGAATGCTGGAAACCCTTTTTCCTTTAACCTGCTATCATTACAATATTTGTTGAACAGGGTAGTTTTTTCATACTCCATATACTCTAAATATGTTGAGGAACGAAAAGGATAAAAGGATAGCAGATAAAGTGAATCAACCAATAAAAATATTTTTTTCCTTTTTTTGCTTTTCAAGCTTTTAGCATGGTTGTATGAATAGATATGCGTTACACGCATTCAAAATTTTCTGTGTATATATGGAAAAAAAAACATTAATTTGAATATTGTATGTAGGAGTATGCAATGATCAACTTTATTTTTGTTATTTGAACGTGCTATTTATCCTTTTTAATATTTTTCGCGTTTTTTATCTGAAAAAAGGGGTTGTCTTCATCTATTTTGAGAATAATATAAATTAAATCCGTATTCGCTTCATTCGTTTCACTTCTTCCCTCAACAACTAATTATATATACAATAAATATTTTTTCCTTGAATAAAATATATATATTAATATACATATAAAACATCATTTACTCTTGCATATTGCTTTGCTCACTTGAACTTATATAAGATGGTTAGTCGTGACGACAGTAACAATAATGATAATAATAATCAAAACGAATGGGAACAATCAAATTTTTTAAATATGATAGACGTAATCCAAAATATAAATATGATATATCAACAATTCGTTGATCAAATCAAAGAAATTACCGAAATACAAAAACAGACTTTATCAGCAATTACATCAACAAATTCTCCCCACTTACAATCACTTCTACAATCCCAACTACAATCCCAACTAGAATCGTTGCTAGAATCACATGTTCAACTACAAATGCAACTTCAATCACGACTTCAATCTCAATCTCAACTTCAATCTCAATCTCAACTTCAATCACAACTTCAATCACACGATGAACAACCAAGACAATCACACCTAGAGTTACAACTAGAATCGCAATTCCAACAACTTAGTTTGTCAGGACCATCATCATCATCATCAGATGGTTTTCCACAATTTTCTTCACAACCTGGCACTCATTATTTGTAATTCAAATGTTAAATTTTAAAATTAAAAAAAGTTCTTTTTTTGTTTGGCCGGGCCTTTTATTATTTCTTTGATCTGGCCGAGGGGCCTTTTATTATTTCTTTGGTCTGGCTAAGATGCTTTTATTTCTTTTTTGCTGCTGGAAATCTTTTATTGTTTATTTCACAGAAAGTCTATCTTTCTTTTATTAGTGGCCACTGGGAGGCCTTTTCAATTCAAATTTGATAAAATTGTAAATATATAAATAAATAAATATTAAATATAATATAAATAAATAAATAAATAAATAAATAAATAAATAAATAAATATAACAAAAAAAATTTTGAATTTAATATATAAATTATTTACACAAGTTGACAGTTCTATTTATAAAAATAAAAAAAATAAAAAATAAAAAAATTATTTATAAAAAAATGTACATACGTATATACTAATATACTCTAAACCACATAAACCATATATGTATATATATTTATGTATATCAATCAATCTATTTTTTTACATTGAAACCTTTGATAATTACAATTGGATTTAACGTTTCTTTTGGTTTTGTAATAACCTTATTACTACAACTATTAATATTATTGTTATTTTTAAAACAGTTGTTGTTAGCTACGTCGTTTCTTATGCCATTGGCACCAGCGCCAACTTTTATTAATTCATCATCATTATCTTTAACAATAAATCCATTGTTATTATTGCCATTATTACCATTGTCAATACAATAATTATCTTTATTGTCATAATTATCCAATTCTTCAAATACTTTAGAATTAAAATCTATATGGAATAATTCAGTAATGTATCTTCTTGCAGGTAATTTGTATTGATAAATTGATAGCATTTGAATTACTTTGTAATAAGTTGTAAAATTGGTAAATATTTCCGGATTTCTGGATTTAATTCTAAATAAATAAATTAAAAAATTAATAGAATTTTATTTATTTATTCCTTAATGATGATAATATTAACAATAACAATTACTTTGATAGACTGGTGGTCGATTCAATATTTGATAGAATGTGATTTGTTAGGTTAGAAACAGTTTTTAACAATATTTTTTCAGTTTCAAACGACGGGATTGGTTTTTGCATAGTATTTTCTTGTAATATTACATCAGCTCCTTTATATTCCCATTTTGGAACCTTTAATCAGATAAATTATTTTAAATTATTTTCCTCCAAATGTAAATTAATTAATTAATAAACTTACGGTAAGGAATTTTTTGTAATCAATTGGTAGACATAATCCAGTAAATAAGTCTAAATCGGGATCGTAATTACTTTCCCATCCTAAATCTTTTAATATCTCAACGCCTTTTAAAGTTTTCGATATTAATCCTAAAACATAATAACATGTTCTAAATTTTTTTCAGAAGTTAGTTTTGTAATTTTTATTATATTAATTTCAATAATTAATTACCCTCTTAATGATAAAACATTTGAATTTTCAGCAATGTGAACAATTTCTTTAATAATATTTTCTTCGTCAAGAAATGTTAATCCATTCTTTGATGATCCAATATTTCCCTTTTTTAAAATAATAATAATAATAATAATAATAATATCATTATTTAATAAATTGGAAAAATTGAGTTCAATAAATCATTATTGTGATTGTTAATCTCCCATCGTTTATTCATTCACTTCGCTGCCCATTGCCCACCAACCTCCAACACGTTGATTTGTTAAATACTTACAACAGCCCAAAGAACTGATTTTAATTTTTTAATTATTGGATAATTTGTATCTTCCATTCCATGATTTTTAATATAATTAGAAAATTCCGTAAAATGGCCTTTATCTCTTAGCATCTGACAGCCTTCAATTGTTTTAATTAGTTCCCCATAGAAATGAGGCGGGGTCAATCCATCAAGCGATTTACTAATTAATCAATTAATAGATAAATTATATAAATAATTATAATTATAATACCAAGGACATAATAAGTATATAATTACACATTGTTTTCATTCTTATCCAGTTTTAAAGATAACTTTAATTCCAACTGTATAACATAATAATGATTTTTCACCTGATTGAATATAGAAATCAAGTCGTAATAATTAAATAAATTAGATTATTGATTCACAACTTCCAAGCCTCAATATAAATATAAATGTAAATATTACATTGAACCAATCAATCAATTCTCTCTCTAAATAATTAATTTCATAAAGATAATTGAATCCAATTGGAGTTGACAAGAATTTCAATAACAAGTTATTTCCAAATTCTCCTAAATGGTCTAAATATGGTCTATATTTAATCATCAGTTCTATGTTATCAATATTTCTGTCGCATAATTCTTCTAGTATTTTTATGGCCATTTGACAAACTTCTATCATAGGATCATACAACTAATTAGAGAAAGATCGGTTAATTAGTAATTTAATTAGCGGTTTGATAAATTACATTATTATTTAAATAGGTAACCTGGGTGATCAACAATTGAACCGCCCATTCTGTAAGATTTTTTTCGGTTTTTTTTAAAAGTATTCCCAAATAATTTGTCGAATATAATCTTACACGCTATTATCAGAAATAAAATTATTAATTAAAATTGGAAATTAATAGTAATAGTTGCATTTATATTTGAAATATACTTTTGTTCCGGATGTCATAACTTTTGATAATATAATACGCGAATGACCATCACTATTAAAAATATTAATATCATTATCATTATTATTATTTATTATGGTTTATTTTATATAAAATCCTAGAATACTTGCATGCTATAATCTAGATTGTTAATTATTGATTTGATGATATCCTCACGTCCATTTAATTCACTCAATTGATAAAATGTATTTAATATTTTAAATTTTTCCAATAATCTAAACAATACATTTCCAAATAATTAATAAACGCAATTAAACAGATATATTTACTTATTAGACTACACATAATTTATTATTTGATTACCTGAGACCTTCTTTACATTTACAAAGTATTCCAATGATTTTAAAATATCCAAAGGTTAAAGTTTTATTAATTTGATCTTTTGAGAATAAAGGTTCCGACTCAGAAATCCCATTCATCGGAATCAATTGATTCAAGCAATCAGAAATATGCCTCAAAAACGACTTTTTCTCCAAATATTTGACACCATAACTATTATTTAACAATGTTGTCAAGAGCGTACACCCTACATCAACGTATTTCTTCTCATTCTCTTCTGATCGTACAATATCCGAGAATAGTCTTGAGTTAGGGCTTAGAAATACTAACAATGATTTGATGAAATTTATTTTAATGGATTCTTCTAATCTTCTTGGGTTTAATAATATTTTTTGTAATAATTCCATTATTGGCTTGACTTCCCATTTAGTGTAATCTTTTGTTGTCAATACTTGCGTCTCGATCAGCATATTTCTAAATTGATTATCGTCGATCTGTATTATTGAATTTTTTGAAACTTTTGAATTTGAACTTGAATGGTTTGAAGCTTTATTCTTGTCATTCTTATCATTATGATTATAATTGTGGTTGTGATTATTGTTATTGTTATGGTTATGATTACTGTTGTTGTTTTTAATAGTGTTTGATCTAGTTGGACATTTATTCGAGTAATAAATATATGATAAAGCTTCCGTTGCAGCATTTCTTAGTACTTCATCATCAAACCTTGTCGCTAAATCAAACAATTTTGACAGTGACTATCAATAAAAGTGTGAGGGAGATGGAATTAATTATTAATTTTGGATGTACTATGTATTTCTTCATAAACGCTTTAGTTAATGTATTTTTTATTCGTATTATACATTACTTGTATTTTAATAAATCTTGATGATGGCAGTAATTTACTTGATAATTTCAAAATTTCGCTAATAAATATAATTGATTTTCTTGTTAGTTCTTGATCCTGATTCTTTTCGACCATTTCAACTAGAATCTATAATGATTAATTTCAATTTAATTAATTAAAGATAGAAATAATAATAATAATTATCTATTTATTCATTTACTTGTAATAAATAAATACCTCGAGAAGTCCAGCATCAATTAAAACAACTAATAAAATAGCCAAATGATGATCAATCATGTTTAATTTATTTTGATTTTGTAATGTACTGCTATTATTACTACTACTAGAATAAAATTCTAATGATGATAGATCCTTGAAATTTTGGTAATCATTATCATTGTCGTCATCATTATAATTAACATTATCAATCAAAGATGGATTTTTTTTCCTTGATAAATATCTTTGAGATAACTCAGTACCATTTATTCTAAGAACATCAAAAAACATTTCTATTATAACATTCTAAAAAATATGGGGGTTTTTTTTGAATAGATAAAATGATAACTATTAGTACTATTATTAACGTGATTATTAGTGCATTTAAGGTACCTTTGTGTCGATTGGAGATATTTTCAAGGATTCAACAATGGAATTGAGCGATTGTCGATCATTAAAACACAAATAAACCATTCCAGTCCAGGATTTTAGTAATAGGGATATTGCTTTAGTGCTAGCTTTTATTTTTAAATCGTCTTCTATACTAATGCTATTACTCCTATTCTTATTACCATTACTATTATTACTCTTATTGTTATTGTTGCTATAATTATTATTTGGTGATGAATGTTTGAATGAACCGGTGAATATTGAAATTACAATTTCCAAATCAATTCCTGGTCTAATATAATCACGAGTTTCTGGAATATCAAGAATGTATAATAATGACATTATAATGCATTCCAGCATGTCTATTGGTCCATCAATCAACGATTTTAAAATAATTCCCATTCCACCGCATTTTATTATGATTTCAGGTTCACGAATCACTGAAAATGATATGTTAGATGGAATATTATTTTTTAATAATAATAATAATAATAATAGTCAATATTAAAATATTTAATCATGCAAATCTTAACTGATTTCAATTAATGTTTCTAAACTCATTATTTTCAATTTGTCATCAGATTGTTCAGCAATTGATACAATTGATTTTAATATTCCCAAAGGTATAAGTTTTATACCATTTGGCACATCAAAAAACGATCTAACAAGTTTGAGAACTTCTTCACGTTCATCATTGAATGATCGAGGATCCTTCGAGAGTGATCTTTGTGAAATAGATTTTGTGGAAAAATATTTGAAATGAATGAATGAAAAAATTGTAAAAAAGATTAATAAATTAATCAATCGATTAGATTATCAAATTAGATTTACCTCATGATGAATATTTTATAATTTAAATTGATTATATCTTCTAATGATTTTGTGTCAGTTATCAAATATCTCAATAATCTATATCCAACAATCCTTATTTCTTTAATTGGATCTGACACACAATATCTCAGGCTAAATGATATGTATTATATGTGTGAAATTATATGTCAATATTATATATTATATACTCTCCATGTCCACATTCATCCCTCACCACTATACATACTCCCCTTCCACCTTCTCTATATCATAATATTAAACAACTTCTCACCTCTTGAAGAAATCTTTCGTTGAATAATTTAACTTTAATTTTTCTTGGCTTTTTATTAATTTAACTAATTTAAACAATTTCTCTAATCTTACAAAATAATCTTCTGATCTATTGTGGATATAATTATTAATGATAATCAACACATCTTGGATTTTAACAATTTCTTCTGATGTGTGATTTCTATCTGCATTATTAAACCAAAGAAAAAATAAAATAAAATAAATTCAATTCATTTATTAATTAATGGATTAATTGATTAATTAAGATAATGATTAAAAATAATAGTTGAAAGAAAAAAAACCATCATCATCATTGTTATTGCTATTGTTGTAGTTGTAGTTGTTGATATTGTTATTGTTATAAAATCCATTTAAATTTTTTTTAAATGCTGCTGTTATGTTTGTATTTATTGATGTAATTTTTCTTCTTTTGGATCTTTCTATTCCAACTACTATGGTAAAATATAAACATTATAGTGAATAAGTCTCTAATTAATTCATCATCATCCAATGAATAATCATATCAATTATCGATTTCCTTTCATCCAATAATTTACCTTCACCTTTAGTGATTATTTCCAACCTATTGTAAAATAACAATTGTATAATAATATACACAAAATATAATTATCATAAATGATTTAGAAATTAATAATAATGCAAATAATTTTACATACTTCATAGTAGTTTACTATTTTTATTTTCACAAATTATCATTCAATAGTTTATTTATTATTGCAAAGGTTATTATAATCACAAATTGAAATAAATTTTTTTTAGAAATCTTGGAAAATTATGTATAAAAATTCATTATAAAAATTAAACTTTGGAAAATAGGTTACACTAAATCCTTTTCGTTTAAGATTTTTTGATAATCGATTGACGTGTAAGTGATGGTATTTATTTGGAGAAAAAAAAAATTAGATACAAAAAAATAATTCTATATTGATAAATTCTAAATTCTATAAATTGATTTTCATCATTATTTTCTAAATCTTTTCATTTGTTAGCGATTCTTCCTATTATGGAAGTTTTATTGTTGTTGGTTGAGAAAGAGATGAAAGAATCGTAATGATAGTTGAAGGTACCGTTTGTTATTTTAAAACCCATTTTTCCACTACTCAAAATTCCTTGAATAAACCAGAATTTAGTTTCTTTATTATAAGAGAAAATAACAGTTTTATTGTTGTCACTATTGTTGTTGTTGTTGACATTATTTAGTTTAAAGATGGAGTTCAACGGAAACGGTTTCTTCAATCTTCCGTTATCAATAACGACCACTTTAGCAACCACTTTACTACCAACGCCATCAACTTCATTATCAGCATCCTCAAACAACAATTCTTGTATATTCCATTCACAACTATCCAAGTTATGGGAATAAAAAAAATCTCTATCTTTTATTTTGAATGGAATCAGAATATGGCATGGTGCTTCCCAATGTCCATTACAAACTTCCAATCCCAATTTTCCACCTTCCAACAATTCTTGTATAAACCAATAATTGGAATCTACATTGTGACCAAAATAATAAGCTTTAATAGAAGAAGAAGATGGTTGAAATGGGAATATCACTTGATAAACATTCAACCATTGTCCTCGATCCGTCACTTTTCCCAGCTTTCCATCCACCAACAATTCCTGAATGAACCAACGCTTTGTTTGATTACTTTGTGCATAATAAAATATTTGTTGATTGACTTGGAATGGAAATCCCAATTCGTATCCATTGTCCAATTTGCCACTTTCTGTTATTATTACATCTTTGTTAATTATTTCTTGGATGTAGAATTCATGATTTTCTATATTATGACTGAAATAATAAGTTTTCTCGACGTTGTTGTTGTTGATTTGATAAGTGAATGTTAGATGATGCTTGTTTGGAAAATTGATTATTGATTTATTTCTCTCGCTACAAATTTTATTATCTGAAAATAATAAACTATACGATGTCATGATGAAAGAAGTTTTAAGTTTATTAGAAAGATTAGGGGGGAAAGGGAGTTTATGATTTATGATACGAAGTTTAAATGGGAATATATAAATGATAGTTTATTGAAAAGTGTAAATGAATGTTTGGGAAAAGGTATAAATAATAGTTGTGGAAAGTTTTTCGTGAAGAAATAACATCAATTTATATACAAAAATTTTATATTACGCACAAGATTCATTTGTTTTGGGGAATTTTTTAGTATGTATCAAATAAAACCTTTATTTAATAAAATAAATCAATTATTACTATTTATATTTTGCATAACATAACAAAATTGATCCAATCTGACACTTATAATTCCTGCATTCAATATTATTAAGAACGTATTAAGAAAAATAAGGAAGGATAAGATATATTAGGAAAATATATGTATAATAAGATAAAAACAGAAAATAAACTATGGTGCAGAACCAAACATGTTGTGTCAAAAATGGAATTAGATAAATGAAGGTAACATTTTTGACCAAATCTAGAAATCAGTCATATATGCTTATAATAAATTTAATCCTAAAAAGGAATAAAACTTTACACAAATTGTTTTTTCTATTAAAGCTAGAGAGACCTGTTCTATCGATTTAATAGTAATAGTTAAATTTTAAAATGTTGAGCTCTTTTTTTAAAAGGTCATGAAAAATCTAGGAGGTTCTGCATCATACTAATAATAGTTATAATGACCAATCAAATTAATAATACCAATTTATGCATGATGATTTCAAAAAAAAATTTTTTTCACACAGTAACTTATACTAATACTAATATATTAATCACGCACGCATGGAAATAAATTATAAATAAATATCTATTTTTTTCACAGAAAAATAATTTTTTTAAAAATATTAAAAAAATAAAAAAATGAGATTCAAAAATCGAGAACAAGCGGGAAAAATGCTCGCAGATCGTTTAATCAACAAGTATAATAATGACAGCAAAGATTTTATCGTATTGGCTTTACCAAGGTATAGATGGATGATCAGTAATATAATGAATATGATTAGAATAATTAATATTTAGCGGTATATTATGATATTAGAGGTGGGGTGCCGGTTGCTTATCAAATATCAGAAAAATTAAAAGCTCCTTTGGATGTATTCCTAGTAAGAAAACTAGGTGTAGAAGGGCAAGTAATTACATTTATTGCATTATTTAGTAATCGCAAATAGGAATTTTGTTTGTAAATTACATGGTAAAAAAAACTCAGACAAGAGGAATTAGCAATGGGTGCAATTACCGAGACAGCTACAGTTTTTAACCATGATATTATTGATATGTTACGAATTGATGAGAAGTCGATTAAACGTGTTATCGCTAAAGAAGTGTGTAATAATAAATCATATTTCTCATAAATCATGTAGTGATGATTTCGTTAGAAATTACAACTACTACTACTAACCAAATAATTTCTAACTGTAATAAAGAAAAGCGAATTACAACGTCGTAATAAAAAATATCGCAAGGGTAAAACCCCTGTTGATGTATCTGGAAAGATCGTAATATTGGTAGATGGTTAGTACGGAAAAATAATAATATCAGATATGATTAGCAGTAAAATATATAAATAACAAACAAACAATAAACATCGTAGATGGAATCGCAACAGGTGCAACAATGAGTGCTTGTTGCACTTCATTAAAACAATTGTAATCTTAATCTTAATTTTTAAAAATTTTTTTTTAAAACTTCCCAAAGTTATTTATTAATAGTATTATTATTATTATTATCATTATTATTGTATTTCTAGAAATCCCAAAAAATTGGTCGTGGCGGTACCAGTAGCAGCCTCTGACACCATTTCGAAAATAATTAAAAAAGTAGACGATGTTGTATGTGTTTTGACACCAGAGAATTTAATGGGTATCGGACAATGGTATGAAGATTTCACTCAGGTATCAATCAGTTTAAGAATAAATAAATAATGTATGTTTCTCATATATACATATATACATAGTATTTTATATAATTTATAATAATAATAGACGGAGGACCAAGAAGTTTTAGAATTATTGGAAAAGGCAGAGAAAGTGTGTCCAATTCCTACATTATCATCAGATAAAGCCGAAGATATTCAAGATAAAAGCATTGTTGGGATGAATGAATGAATAAATTAATTGTATTAATTTGTGTATGGGTCATGATGTTTATGTTTGTTTTTTATTTTATAAAAATTTTAATTCTGCAAACATTACAAAAATATTGCGTAAGGAACTTAATAAATCATTATAATTGCAATAAAAAAAATCATTGGTTACTAATATATTTTAATCATTGATGAATGACGTTGTAATAGTTTTAATATAATTGTATAAATAAAATAAATGTTTGTTTACAAATCATAATAATTTCTTGTTTCTTCATCAAAAAAAACCAAAAAAATTTTTCTTTCTAATTTATTTTTCATAAAGTCTTTTTTCCTTTTACACGTGTAATTAGTCTTTTTCTTAATATAACAATATATCAATAATAGTTATTGTTGAACAGTTTGAACAGTTCCTACCAATAAAATTATTAATCCTATATATACATCTATATCTATCTATTGACGATGCCAAGATTTTTCAGTAACAATATATTTTTATTCAACAATTTTCCAGGTTCATCAAAATCAAAACCAAAAAGTTTTAAACGTGAATTAGAGTTGAGTAGGCGGGTGAAGCAGCTGTCAGAAGAAAAATTGGAAAAAATTGTCAAAGATGAAAAGGTGAAATGTATAGATGATTGTGATATAAGGAAATATATATTGGTTGGTAATCAATACGAAACTGCTCGTAAAAAAATGAGACTTTTGGAATATGATGCAGGTAATAACAATAACATGAATTATTATTATAATTTTATTGCTGATGATGATGTCCATGTAATGATTGATTGATGTTTAATTATGCAAATAATTAATAATTAATATAAGATAATTGATATTTAATATTTAGTATTAAATTTTTCGATTGACTCAGATGAAGAAGAAGAAGAAGAAAACTCTAATAATTCGGATGATTATAATAATTCAAATGGACCTGATAATTCTGATGATAATATGGATGATTCTGATGATTCTAATAATTGTGATGGCTCTAATAATTCAGATGATAATATGGATAATGACGATGACGATGATGACGATGATAATGATGATGGTGATGATGGTGATGATGATGACGATAACTACGATGATGTTAATTTATCTGATGATAATGACAATTTAGTTGATAACAATGATGATGATAATTTAGAATTGGAGGGATCTGATGAAGAGGAAAATAAAGTATTGAGTGATTTGGAGATTTCAGAAAACAATATTTCAGACGATTTAAATGTTGAGAATACTAGTAAAAACAATGTAGAAAATACTAAAGATATTCAAAATATTAAGGCTAATACTCACATTAAAAATATTGGAAATGTTAAAGATACTGAAAATACTAAAGATATTGAGATTAATGCAAGTATTAAAGATAATGGAAATGTTGAAGATACTAAAAATACTAAAAATGTTGAGATTAATACAAGTACTGAAAATATTGTAAATGTTGAAGATACTAACAATACCAAAGATATTGGAGATATTGAAGTTCATATAAGTTCTGAAGATGTTGGAAATGTTGAAGATATCGAAAATACTAAAGATATTGAAGATATTGAGGTTAATACAAGTATTGAAGATGTTGGAAATGTTGAAGATACTAGGGAGATTATTGGAAATACTCAAGATATGGAATACATTGATGTTAACACAGATGCTGAAGATCTTGCAGATACTGAAGATTTTATTGGAAATACTCAAGATATGAAAGATATGGAAGATTATTTGGATGAATCAAATTCATCATTGTCACCCTCAACTAATCACATCGGTGACATTCATAATAATAATAATAATGAAAGAGAGGAAATAAATGATGATAATTAAGCGATTAAATTATTAAAATTAATTGTTCTAGAAATTTTCCATTTTTATTATGATTTGTTTATTTATTTGTTATGCATCAAAAAATAAATAATTTTGCATAACTTTGGATCGAGAAATTATTTCATGTAAAAAATTTGCTGTTGATAAAAATAATATAGAATTTTTTTTTCAAATAGACAAATTTACAACTACAGCTTTGGTTGCAAAATTTATTTGCAGCTATTATTAAAAGGATGTATTTTAAAAACTTACTCGCAAGGAATGCTCGCAAACAACAACAAGATCAAATTACTTTTAATTATTTTAACTGATTATCAATTACGGAATTGATAATGAATGGCGGATTCTTCCTCACTCTTGGAAGGTTTTATGACTAACTAATTATTATATATTGATTCATTGAATAATCAATCAATTAATACTTCTATTACTTGATGGCAAATGTTGATTGTAAACAATCTTCATTTGAAAAATGGTTTACTATTTCCAACTCCAATTACACACTGATAGACGTGCGACATTAGAAATGATTTAGCAATGGAAATACTTGCCTTCAAAGACATTTACATCCCTGATAAAATTCTTGAAGCTTTCTTCTGCTTACCCGGATATTTCTTTGCAAGGTTACTTTTGCAGCCTTTGCAGCCTTGCTATTCCTTGATACTTGAGTCTAACGTTTAACAATGTCACATTTTCTTATAGCGGGCGAAAAAAAGTTTAGAATTATTTATTCATTTGGTTCGCAAAAGAAAGCAGAAAGAAAGTAAATGGTTTTTATTGATATTAATCTTACACGAAAGGGTTTTAATTGATTTTAATATTAAGCTGTAAAGTTAATTGACAACAATTTTCACCGTAAATAAATGGAATGTTCAGCATCCATTGTTCCATAACTTGATTAACCAAATTCCAAACATCCTTTTGGTTTAATATGAATGTTATTGAATAATCAACTTGTAACCAAAGGAAGATTTTGTTAAGTTTACTTTTGAGCTTGAAATCATTGAGGTTTTAAAAATTAAATTCATATTAAAGTTACTTCATTCCAAAAAATTTACATAAATTTCTACCAATACAATAGAATTATCAATACGTATAGAAAACCTCGGAAAGATTTTTATCATTTAAATTTAGGATTACGAGATCAAGATACACATCTAATCCATTATTATGACTGACATTTGTTGTCATGAATTAAATTGTGCTCGATTAGTTTGTTGAAGAATAATAGACCCATTTCAATGATAATGATCCCTTGAGTATGATTCGTGGCTTACTTGGGAATTCAAAATCGTAAGTTCTCTTTGTTGTAATCGAGAATGTGGTGAAAAAAAGGTCGGGAGTTGGGATTATTGTATTGAGAATGGAATTTGAGATTGTGTTTCAAGTAAAGATTGAGATTGAATTTGAATTTGAGGTCGTGGTCCGAGAAGTAAATCGAGATTGTGGTGACATTTGATATTGTATCGGAAGTAAAAGTTGAAAAAAAAATTAATTACAAATATCAGACGTGTTATAACTGCTAAGGTTGTCGTTGGAGTAGTAGAATAGGTAGAAGTTGAAGAATGAAAATTACCACTCATTTTGTATACTAAAAATAATTTCTTATAATTACTTATTTTCACTCAACCGTTCTTTTTATTTGTTTGACAAGATTTGCTTTACTATTAAATATAGAAATTTGTTCTCCTAGTTCGATGATTAAATTGTTGATTGTTCATATTATCAATAGAAATGAGTCACGATAATTATTCTGCGAATGATTTTTTCTCTGTTATTCACATTTGTTTATTCATCTACTCAAACCATTTCTCTTCAACATAAGATATATTAATACAGACCGTTATTGCTTTTAACACAATTATAATTTAAAGTTTCATTACATCTGATATTCCTTTGATAAATTTGTCATGGACGGATTTATGAATTCAATATATTTGTTGTGTAAATTCGAATAAATGTTGAAGATGATGTAGAAGATACATATTGTTGTGAGGGTGTTGTATGAAATATTTATATGTGTTGAATTTAATAAAATAGACTATTGATTTGGCCTGAATGATGTTATTTTTTTGCTTTTTGCTACAAAGAAGATACGATCCAAACCCAACTTAAAATAAATTCATTTTGTTCACGCATAGCAGAAGCTCACATTGCGTTCTCAGTTGTAAGCTTGTTGATGAAATACTACATGTTTTATAATAATAATGAATAAAATAAATGTATTCTTTTCAATATTTTATACATTACGTACCTTATACGCGGAATCAAAACATACTAGAACCTTTCCAATATTAGTATTAATATGCCAAAAATTATGTACCTTATTATTATATACGGCTTTTCAGTATGTATCAATTCCGTATTTCACGCTAAAATTGAAAACGTATTTAACATACGTTAATTCGTATTTTATTTTTCATAGGGCTGGCTAAACTGACTAAACTATTTAATCATATTAATATGTTAAGTCAAGTTTAGTCAAGACAATTATTACTAAATTAGGGTTTAATCCCTTTACGCTGCCAGCCTTAGTTTTGAAGCTAAGATCCTTCTCTACAAAGTTACGATTAGACACGCGTATAAACAAATATATGTGAAAAAATAGATATAAGAATAAAATTTTTGCCTATTTAATTAGGTGTTGAAAGTCGCAGTTATTGGCTGGTGATTGCAGCAGCTGCTGATATAATGATCCATTTTTTATTAATTGAAGAAATTTTAACCCTGATAATAATAAAACTTGAATATTTATTAATAATAGTGCTTTGTAACTTTCTAGAATTTCATTACAGATATTTGATATAAGTATAATTATCGTTGATTGTGTAAAAATAGAAATCAAATCATAAAATTAAAAACCTTTCTTTGGAGAAATTAAATTATTTGATTGATTAGAATAAATGGAAAATCTACTTCTAGGAAATTTGCTGACATATCAACATAGTAAACTTGTGCAACTTTGAGGTTATTAAAAAAGGGCAAAAAATCTTTTATGAAAACTCAATTTAAAATGAACCGTTCTAACAAGAAATCGCAGTATTGGCAATTTAACTGGTTGAAATCTTTTTTTGAACTATTTGAACTTTTAAACTGTTAATTAGTTAAATAACTTGCTGATTATTTAACCAATCTGCAAGTTATTACAAATATGGAAACAGTATCAAATATTATTATTATATTACTGTTTTCTGGATCCAGAGTTAATAAGTTTGATTTTAGAAAAGAACAATGTTTATTTACATCTGATTTAAAAATTTATCAATTCTGTACAGAGGAACAGCTTAGTAGGAAATCATATTTTACAATAAAAAGACATAGCAAACTCGTGCATATCATTTAACCCCCATTTGTTAATTATTTGCAGATAATTTCCAAAGTAGGGTTCCTAACCATAATTATAACTCCATATTTGAATATTCGTAAATCTAAAATTACGAATTTCGAATATTATTTTGGATACTCGTAATTATTTTGGATACTCGTAATTATTTTGGATACTTGTAATTATTAATTATTTCAGATATTTCAAATACTTTATTTAAAATATTTCAAATACTTGTATTTGTAAATATTTAAATATTCAACAAATCACAAATGTATCTACTAAATTATATTTGCTATAAAAGAAAAAAACATTGAAAATTTAAGAAAATGGTTGAACTATTTTTAAATTACGTTTCAGAAATACCATCTTTCCCACTTGTTCAGGTTTTAGATTAGTCCTTTTGGCAGTAATGATATTTCCTACATCACTAAATAATTTCTCAGAAGCAACAGATGTAACTGAGATGCATAAAAATTTTTTTGCCAATTTTGTTAAAATGGGAAAATTGCTTTTGTTTCCATTCCACCATTTAAATGGATCAATATCATTCCTTACATTACTAGAGAGATAATGTGATATTTCATTATAATTACCAACCACGTCATTATCAGGTTGCAATATTTGTTTTAAAATAGAAACATTATTCAAATCATGCTCACTGTGATCCATTTCATTTTCAATAATAAAATTATTTTGATGTTTCTGAACAAATATTTAAATTGTTGTAGCAATATAAGTTATTTTTTTATTATCTTTAAAAAATTTTTATTATATAATATGATTACATAGATTGATAAAATATAAATAAAATACAAATAAGTTAGTACTATTTGTTATCAATTGATAATATCCAAAATTATTACAAGTATCCAAAATAATTACAAGTATCCATAATAATTACGAGTATCCAAAAATAATTACGAGTATCCAAAATAATTACGAAATAAATTATATATATTCGAATATCCTTGAATAAATTGATTTTCGAATATTCGTAAAAAATTTGATTTTCGGTTAGGAACACTAGTGTCAACAACATTAACTGAATTTACGGAAATATGTACGTATATGTTACCATTAGTAATATTAATATTTGCTACTATTTTTATTTTTATTTTTATTTTCATCATTGCTATTACCTTGTGTTTTTGGACTCAAAATACTAAAAGTACCTTCTAAATTAAGATTATCAGCCACTACTTCATTATTTCCATGGCGACATTGTTTAATAACCTCGACAGTATTATCAGCAGAATTGTTATCACGGTTTTCTGTTTTGTTTTCCTATTTATTAAGAAAAAGAAATAATTATTTGAATAAAGAAAGAATATTGAAAAAAATTGATTTTTTTATCTTAGGCTTATTTTTGCTCTTAAGTTTGCGGCCTTCACTTACATTTTTTCTATCAATAACAATACCAAATTCTTGCGTAAATTCCGCAACATGCTCACCCCAATGTAAAAAATAAATATTTGATCGTTGCTGATCATTGGCTTGATGATTATAAGTTGAGGTTGGTAAAGCATAGCCATTCTCCAGTTGTTGCAAACAATTACCTCCTACAAAATTTTAAAGAAAGTTAGTTACATATATAATATTGTATTTAGTATTGTTATCAATTTACCTTGCAAGTCATCACCACTACCATCATCAGAAACAAGCGCTTAAAAAATTTTTTTGTTAATAAGAACGAACAAACAAATTAGTTAATTAATTTACATTACTTACAAGTACCATTAAAATTATTATTGACATGAGTGTCAACGTCAACATCAGCTAGATTTACGGAAATATGTAGGTATTATCATTAGTAGTATTTGCTACTATTTTTATTTTTATTTTTATTTTCATCATTGCTATTACCTTGTGTTTGTCTTATTTTTGGACTCAAAATGCTAGAAGTACCTTTTAAATCAAGGTTATCAGATATTGCTCCATTGTTACCATGACAACATGGTTTAGTAACTTCGACACTATCAGCAGTGTTGATATCACGGTTTTCTGTTCTAATTTCCTATTAAAGAAAATGGATGATTATTTGAAACAGAGAGAGAATATTGAAAAAATTTGATTTTTTTTTACCTTAGGTTTATTTTTGCTATTAAGTTTGCAGCCTCGTTTTCCCGGATTTTCATCTAAAATACATTGCACATTCTCTCCAATACACCTATTGCAAGAACTAGAGCCCTCTTTTTTTTCCTCGCACCTTAGGCGATTTTTACGACACAAATTGCATGCAATACGAGCATGTGTGCGCTTTATGTAAGGTTCCGTTTTTTTTCGTGGTTTCTTTCGTGGTTTCTTATCCTTATTCGGTTGTATATTTGTTGTAATACTAGGTGCATCTGATTTCAATTCAGGCTGTGATGTCGTATAAACCGGTTGCTCGTTAGAAGGATATGTATATAGATCTGGGTAATTTGGTAATTGAGAAATTGGTTCAAGTTGTTGCAAATATGGTGTTTGGTTATTATTTATATTAGTCGATAAATTTATATGATGTGGTGAGCACAACTGATTCAGATCTATATTATAAATCGATGCATCCGTATAAAATAATGATGAATATGATATTTGATTATTATCCAATAATGGTGTATTTATATTACTATCCAGTGATAGTGGATTTATATTATTGATCAACAGTCGTGGATTTATGTGAGATTCAACAAAAAATAGTCGATTTATATTATTATCCGATGATTGTGGATTTATATTATTATCCAGTGATAGTAGATTTATACTATTTATGTTATTATTATCCAATGATTGTGAATTCATATTATCCAAAAATCGTCGTAGATCTATATTATTATCCAAAGATTGATGCGTAAACATTTTTTTTTTTAATAATTGTTGAAATTGATTAAAAATTATAAATAAAAAAACAATTTAAGTTACTAATTAATGACAAGAAAAAATAAAATCAATAAGTAAAATTTAGCAAAAATTTTTGCCAGTTTTATAACCAAAAGAGTTATACAAGTTCTTCTGTTGTAACTTTCTAGAACCCCGTTATGGATACTACAGACAACCTTAGCATAAATATAAATATTGTTAAACAAATATTTATAGAAATTATTATTGCTTTTGTATAATACCAATTTGGGTCAATATAGGTTTCTTAAAAATCTTTTTGGAAAATTCGATTTGTCCTATTTGATAGAAAACAAAAAATTGTATTACAAATAGAAATCTGCCTGGAAAAAAATGACAAATCTCCAGGATTCCATTATTTTAAGTTAAAATGA